GGCCTGTCATACTACTGGGTCCTATACAAGGCTCGCCCTTACATTAGGTTCCGGTGAATTACAATATCGTTTCTGGTTCCTATGCCACCGTTGCAACTGGCACTACACATCCATGGTCCCCATTCTGACCATCCACCATCTAAGGGAGGTCCGTCTATATCTGTACATAATACATGAAGATATAAAATTAGAAATAAGATATAATAGAAATAAGATATAAAATTAACAATACAAACATGATAATTATTTCATGTTTTATAATAAATAAATATAAAAAATATGAAAAACTGAAAAAACAGAAGAGAGTAAAGTAAATATTAGTAATAAAATAATGTTATCAAACTATAAATATTATTAAATCAACAAATATTATATACATAAACATATATAAATAATATTTTACTTTGCTAGTCAATCTTTTACTTTTTTTAACTATACCTGATGGTATGCAGTTTGCGCTCCATATAGCCCATCCTCCTGAATCCACAGCGAGTGAGAAAAAGTAAAAGATGAGTGGTTGACGATGCACATAATAAAATACACTTGTCTCATTACAAAATACTTGGATTATACTTTCAGACCATCTTTTCAAGAAAATTATAAAAAACCATAAATTACTAATTTATATTCATTTATGTATTTAATAGAATACAAAAATGTTAACAATTAAATTACTTTATGGTAATATTTGTCCAGGAATTTGTAGTAAATATATATTTGGATACTTTCTGTCTATAATAAACTGTTACTTTAGGATATGTATTTTTTAAAAAATATATCCATTGACCTTGTTCGCCAAGTGTAAGCATATAAAAGCTGCAAAATACGATAGGGAAATAAAAGTCGATTGTAAAATAATTGATTGTGAATAATTTTATTTACCCTGGTGTTGCAGGCATTAAAAGTAATGGTACTAGAACGACACCTTTGGCACGTATCATCAGTGTTAACTTATTAGGTCTGATTACGGCTTCCTTGGACCATATTGATAATGGTAATATTCTGGTATAACGATTGGTCTGTGTGTACTCTATATGGCATCCTATATAATTATACAATGAAAAATAATAAGATACAGATGTTAAAAGCGATTTTAAAGTACTCATTTTGAATATACTTTTAGGATATACTTGAAGCACAATCAAAAGCAACTCCAATTGCATGTCCTCTTTCACTGTTGTAATAATAATAAATTGGTAAAAATGCTTTAGTTGGTTCAGGATGTTTCCATTCAAATAACGGATTTGATGCTCCTTCGTAATAAACGAAAACATGTCCCCGAGGTATGCGAATAACAAAGCTGCTCCATTTTCCAAGATATAATAAATGTGGCAATGTTTTCTTCTTTACTAAAATTATGTCTATAATAAATTGTTGAGAAAGAGATTAATTTATTATTATTCGGAAATTTTTCATTATATTACAATACGATTTCAAATTACCCTTTTCTTCCGATTGATAGTAGAGAAGTACTTTCTCGTTATCTAAAGCTCCAATTTTAAGAATATAACGAGAGTTTAATCCATCATCAGCAGTGAAAACAAATGTTATAGAATCTAACTGATCAGGTTCCCATGCTTTTAAAGAAAAATGTAAACCTTCTGTACGATATTCCGGCAAAACATATAAACGACGTCCAATGCCATGTCCTTTTACGAAAAATGTACATTCCTCTATGACATTAATAGAAAATAATTATAATTTTTTGTGTTGTTTTTAACAGAATTATTGATACATTTATGCAGTAGGGAACTATCCAAGACCGTGGACATGATTTGCCAGGTCCTTCTATGTCCTTAGCTCCTGCTCGATTCTGCCCGAAACCATGTGTAGGAAATTCGGAAAAATTAACTAACTCTTACCTGGCTTCTCACAGTCCCTTACATCACAAAGATCTTGTGACACCAATGGATCCATTGTATAACACCATGTGCCAGCAATATTGCGTGAAGGATTTCTACAGTAATTATTGGCCTTTCGTACACTACGTTCAGGATAAAGACTGTCATTTAAATACGCTCGATTAATGCTATGTATAGGTTTAACATCTGTAAATCCTGTTTGTGATGATAAATTCGATGATGATATTGTAAATGATTTTGACGAAATATTGTGTTTTGTCAAGTAATGCTTCCAGCGAGATTTTGTGCGAATTGATCTTAAAATTCTAGAAGGACTTTGTATTTTTAATGATAGATTTGATCTTTGAATTTGTTCCAAATCATAGTTATTCAACCATTTTGCACACATTCGACCTGAACGTGTCGTTGATAGTGTACCTATGTAATCATTAGCAGTTCCTGCCATTCGGCATTCTGTAAAAACAAAAGAAATATATTTAAATTCAATCGTAAGTGGTAAAATTCAATCAATAGTTGTCATAATGAAACCTTTATATTCAATTCCTAATTGAGGTAATTTGTGATTGGATAAATCAATTTCCGATGTATTATGTACTGAAAAAAACATGACGATATAATACTCATTTGTTGATTATCATAGAAAACAAGCAATGTTAGCTGAAAACAATAAAATGTATGCAGTTGTTTCCAAGCAAATTGCATTGCTTGTTCTCATTTGGAGACATTTATATCTTCTGAATTTATTACATGAATACGCAATAATCAAGTTTAAAATATACAAGAACATTAAAACTGTACAATAGTTCAACATGCATATTGATAATTTATAAAACATGTTATATGAGTCCTTTAAAATATTTCATCTACATATTCTATATTCAGAGAGATTCATTTTTATCTAAAATTCTTCTTCATTGTAATCAAAGTGCTATGTATCATTGTTACATCTATTGTTTTTATTATTTCTTTAGCAGAATTCCTTTTGTAGATTAAAACTATAATATAAAAAGAAATAATTACAATTGTAAAATATATTCATTGTTATACAATACTGTATTAATTATTTAATTAATGTTAGTTAGTTAGTTAATTGTTAATTAAATAAATATAATGCAAATGTATCAAATAATTCCCATATACTATATAACTAATATATCTATTTGTGTTGGTATCTTTTATTTTTGCTTAATAATTTATTATACTTGGTAATTATTTAGAATACCTTGTCACCTCCAATTTTGATAAAATTAGGTTTGATCGACGCGGTTTCGCTCAAAATAAAAGAATCTGGCAGAAAAATGTCGGCCTCGCGAACCGAGATATTAAGCGAAATATTAAAATTTAAAATTTAAATTTAAAATTTTAAATATTAAAATTTAAAATAATTTAAAATTAAATTCTAAAATTAAAATTTAAATTTAAAATTTTTAATTTAAAAATTTGAAAATTTAAATTTAAAAATTTGAAAATTTAAATATAAAAATTCAAAAATTTAAATTTAAAAATTTGAAAATTTAAATTTAAAAATTTGAAAATTTAAAAATTTAAATTTAAAAATTTGAAAATTTAAATTTAAAAATTTAAAAATTTAAAATTTTAAAAAATTTTGAAAAATTTTAAAATTTAAAAATTTAAAAATTTAAATATAAAAATTCAAAAATTTAAATTTAAAAATTTGAAAATTTAAATTTAAAAATTTG